AGACTCCCACAGGATGACCAGGGTAGCGGCTTGAAGCTACGGGCTAGCCCTTCAATTCAAGCTACACAGCAAGCTCCACCTCTCAGTGGTAGTCCGGCTACAGCGTATCGCGCAATCTCGCTCTCAATCAGATGCTACGCTCTCAATCAGGCGAATATGTTGTTGGAAGTCAATCTCATTTCCATGGAAGTCAATATCGACTTCCTCCGTGGAAGTTGTAGACGGTTTCCATGGAAGTCAAATTGACTTCCGTGGAATTGTTGTTCGTCTGTTTCGGGATCCAGCTTCAACGATGCTTCCATGGAAGCGGGAAACAATTTCCATGGAAGTTAATCTGCTTGCGTGGAACCCGCTTCCATGGAGCACCCGATATCAACCTCTCGTTGCTTCCATGGAAGCCGCATTTCGGACTTCCCCGGAAGGAAGCGCACGAAAACTTCCATGAAGGAAAGCAACTTTCATCGAAGTAGGTGACAGAGGTCGAAACCGACTTCCGTGGAACCATCGAAACTTCCATGAAAGCGACTTCCACGGAGGAAGCGTTTGGGCATGCATGTGGTCATCCCAGTTTCCCTAGCCTAGCCTAGCCTACCCTAACCCTCACCCTAACCGTAACCCTAAACCTAACCGTAACCCAAAGCAACTTCCACGGAAGGAAGCGTCTGGACATGTGGCCATTCCTACTTCCTAACCCCGAAAAGACCATGGAAGCTACCCCGAGGCTGAATACTTCCATGGGAGCTGCCCTAAGCCTGTTACGAGTACTTCTTCCACTTCTATGGGATTTCCATGGGACTTGGTGAATGTGTACTTCGATGTAAGTGGTAAAAATCCACCTTTCATATCTTTAGTTCCATGGAAGTGATTTTCGCTTCCATGGAAGCGTCGGTTTGCGCTTCCATGAAAGTACAAACTTGTAGCTTCCATGGGAGGGAGTGACAGTAGGGCCACGGGCGAGCAATAGCCAGTTAAGTCATGGACGTTGATGGCAGTGGTATTTGGAGCTCTATATTCTTCCCATCATTTGGCAAGACGAAGTTGTCGACGCCTTTCACAGTGAATTGCCCGACCGAACGTTGAAGCCAGCACCGGCCATGTTTCTGAAAAATAACGTCACGGGAACACAATGCGTCCGGAGGGGCAATGGCGGGAATTGCCGCAGATTTGGTCACCGGTGCGGCGCTGACCCCTGCCATCGAAGAAGTGCACAAGGAGGTAAAAAAAACGAAAAGGCGTAAAACAAGCAGAGGTGGAGGTTAACACGCAGGTTTCTCGCCAAACCACCGAGTCCAGCCGCTCGACCGGGCCCCTCGGCAGAGTATCCAGCACGATACCCGCCCGTCTCACGTGTCCCTTGTCCTACAGAGGAAATGACGACAGCCCCGAACGGATCGGGGTTGGGGAAGGGGTTGGGGAAGGTTTTGCCCCGACACCTGCTGTATATCGTTTGATTTTGATTTTGACTGGGAAGTTTCAAGGAGTGATGCCGTGGGCGGTAGCTTGCTCCTAGAGATAGATGAAGGTTCTGTCGTTGACACGCTTGTCCACGACCACGTTGAGATGGGAAAGTTGCTTGTATTTGCTGAGAGACGATCAGCAAAGGTCTGGGATGAAGTGGGGATCCAACTTCATCTCAGGGGGGTACACAGAGTAGACAATTCTAAGGGGGTAGGGGTCAGAAGGGTATACCTCCTGACCGACCCCCATCCTATCAAGAATAAGATGTACCCTATTCATGCTAGCAGCCACACTCCTTAACACTAGCCCACCCTGAATATCATATATGCAGATTCTATACTCAAATCAATGCTCGAATCCTAGTCTAAAGCATAATTAAGATTTTAGCTGATGATTTATGATCATTAATCGAAGATATTACTCGTCACAAAAAACTCAAAAGGAGGGTGAGTTGTAGAAATATCCCGAATCAATCCCCCACACCATCATTGAGATGAAGAATGCGAACGGTCACTAGACGGAACATCGACATCTCAATGACAACGCTTGAAGGGATAAAGCTACGAAGAACATATATTGCGGCAGAGCACGCTA